ATCTTTTATCCCTAGCAGATAGCACAGTACCTATTTAACAGATTCTTTTTTCCGTAATTAAAAAGAGACTCATAACATCTATGCTTTTAGGATCTAAGCATCCTTAAATTAAGATATATATGAACTGCATATACACAATAAAAAACCAGATTCAAGGAATCATATAAAATATTACAAAGACTTTTAAAATCCTATAAAATTACTCTTGTATAAGTCAAAAGATTTTAAATCTAAATTTGTAAACAGTAGATTTGGTTGAAATAAGATACACTGAAAAACATTTATGTCCCACAATACTACTTTATTTTATTTATTTTTCACAATATTACTTTAATTATTAAGAATTCCTTTCCAACAATAGCCAAATTATGGAAAGAGCCTAAATGTCCATCAACTGATGAATGGATAAAGAAATTGATTTATAAACACAATGGGGGGCGCCTGGGTGGCGCAGTCAGTTAAGCGTCCGACTTCAGCCAGGTCACGATCTCGCGCTCCGTGAGTTTGAGCCCCGCGTCGGGCTCTGGGCTGATGGCTCAGAGCCTGGAGCCTGTTTCCGATTCTGTGTCTCCCTCTCTCTCTGCCCCTCTCCCATTCATGCTCTGTCTCTCTCTGTCCCAAAAATAAATAAACGTTGAAAAAAAAAAAATTTATAAACACAATGGAATACTACTTGGCAATGAGAAAGAATGAAATCTGGCCATTTGTAGCAATGTGGATGGAACTGGAGAGTGTTATGCTAAGTGAAATAAGTCATACAGAGAAAGACAGATACCATATGTTTTCACTCTTATGTGGATCCTGAGAAACTTAACAGAAGACCATGGGGGAGGGGAAGGAAAAAAAAAGTTAGAGACGGAGACAGCCAAACCATAAGAGACTCTTAAAAACTGAGAATAAACTGAGGGTTGATGGGGGGTGGGAGGGGAAAGTGGGTGATGGCATTGAGGAGGGCACCTGTTGGGATGAGCACTGGGTGTTGTATGGAAACCAATTTGACAATAAATTTCATATTAAAAAAATAAAATAAAATAAAATTCATTCCTGCAAAAAAAAAAAAAAAAACAATTCCTATAAGAGGGGCAGGCGCCTGGGTGGCTTAGTAACTAAAGCCTCCAACTCTTCATTTAGGCTCAGGTGATGATCTTGTGGTTTGCAGATTCGAGCCTCTAGTCAGGGCTCTACGCTGATAGCGTGGAGCTGCTTCGAATTCTCTCTCTCTCCCTCTCTCTCTGCCCCTCCCTCACTTGCATGCTTGTACACTCAAAATAAATTAATAAACTTTAAAAAAAAGAATTCCTATAAGAATATTACTTATTATATTTTTAAAGTAAAATTAGTAGACATAGAAACTTGTAAGTCAGTAATAGGGAGCACTGTGAATTTATATTTTGATATGTACTCAATAAATTCAAGTCATACACATCTACAGCTTTTCATCTTTAATTCTGTTTTCAATTGAATACTATATTATAGGAGCACTAATAATCCACTGGAAATGAAACAGTTCAAAGAATGCTTACTCCCTCAAAAGTTTAAAAAGTAATTTGGTTTGGACCATCATATTAGCAAAATGATTTCATTATCACATCATTTAAGAGTAATAAAGTGGAATTAGTAAAATGCTAAAACACAGAGAAATAGTTAAATCCACTGTGAAACAGTAAAACTTTGGACTATTACAAAACCATAAAATAATATTAATATGCAGCACCAGGGGAAAATGTGATGTTTAAAAAGACAACTATATGAATATTACCCACAGAATCATACACAAGTATAGATAGGATTAGTATATTTTACTGATTAATATATTATACAAATAGAATAAGAATACAGAAAAATGTAAGATATATAAGAATCAATTTTTCTCCCTTTGGAATTTCCTTTAATCATGTTATATTTCTTTCCAATAAAAAGTTTTCAAGCAGCACATTAAGCTCTATTACACTTATTTATATGTATTACGTACTGCCATAAGTAGAAAAAAAAATTTAAGTTTATAAACTACCTAATTTCATCCCAAAAAATACTGTTTGAATTTTCAAATAATAAAATTATCTGATTTTGGAATTTCCTACAATCTGATGCTAACCCTATACTTTTACGCTAGCTGTACTGTGTAAAATTTTCCCCAATTTTTAACCCTTACAAAGGAATCTTCCATCCCAACAAGGCATCCCATTTACTGAGTCTGTCAAACCGACAATCTGCAAGAGGAGAGAAAACTCCTGGCACCAGCTGAGAGAAGATAAAATTTTAATTCGTGTATTAGGAAAGCTTGTTTGCCCTCACTAACCAAATTTCAGCAAGCATATTACATTGGAAATTGAAACTATAACAGAAATTCCCTGCTGCAAATCAGAAAGACCAAATAAGACAACCTGCCTCTGACTCAGCAGCTTTCTTTTTCTTTTCAACCTGTACATAGGCTAAGACTGAAACCTAACTTTCAAACTGAGCAGCAAGAAGAGCCAATGCAAAATCAGTAACTATCCAGGCAGGAAACTCCAAAGAAAATATGACATGTTCTGGTCATAACTGAAAGAGACATAAAGAGCAAAGGTGCCTTTATGTTTCTTTATCATGCAAAAATCCCTTGTGTATAGCTACAAATTAGCTTTTATTGAAGATACTTAACATGTTTCTTTATACAGAGCACCTCAACCAAATAACCTTCTAAGTCTGGCACTGTGAATTTTTACAGCCTACACATCACTGCAGTTCCTTGTAATTTAAAACATTTGCGTTTTAAGAACACTCTCCACACACCATCTCTACTGCCAATTTCTTCAGCTTGGAAACTCAAGTTTATACTACAAAATACTATGTTTACTCTCAACAACAGAATGCTCTCATTTACAAATTATCCAAGAGTAAATTACTCCAAGATACAACTTCAACATTTCTAACATCATCGCTTTTCTATTATCCAAATTAACAAGTCTAAACAGTAGTACACTAAGTGAGGTACCATGGCAAAAGTCAACTGGCCTATTATCAGTTCACTAAAATCTGTAATACAAATCAACTCTTTTGCAAAATGGCCACAGGAGATATCAATGTAGGGGATAGTGTGGACTGAGTTTGCCATTGCCAGAAAAAGGAGTCAAAGCAAGCCTGTATGAGGCAGATCATCCTCATGGATACAAATCGAAATTCATTTCTGAGTCCCCAGTCTCACACCAAGACAGTTAACCAACTTTTTAACAGTAATACAAACAACAGGGCAGAAAATAAAATATATAAGGGCTTTTTTTCATGGTTATATTGATCAAGAACTGACGGGCAATCTTCAACGCTCAAAGATAGTTTCCCTTTTGATAGTGATTTTGCTCTCATGTGCACACAGATCATCATAAACAATGCGCTTCGTTTCACACCATAGCCTCAGATCAAGTACTTCTAGAAAACTTGGCGTCTTAGCACTAAAATTCTTTCCTATATTCTACTATATCCTTCACCTTCCAAACCGGAAAGGTAGATCTATCCCCACGTAAACTGGAGTCTAAAGACTTAACACGAGTTTGCACACAAAGTCTCAGTAAATCAAAATCCCAGATTACAGTGCTTGACAATCTCTTCGGCAAAAACACACACAGTTCATTACTGGAGATGACACTTAACCCTCACATTTGCACAAGTGACTTCGGTAACTGCCCTAAATTTTCCCGTGTGGAAAAAAAAAACAAAAAACAAAAAAACACATAATGGGACCGGGCGGGGGTACTATTTAAAAACTGGGTCATTCCTTATTTGTTCTGATGAGACGGTCCTCGGGAGGGAAAAAGGTTCACGAAGCATCCAAAGAAAAAAGAAAGTACAGCATCCTCGGTGTAGAAAAGTTACAGCTCTTTACACAAGTCAGCTCTAGGGGCTCGTTAGTTGGTTTTATTTGTGTTTAGTCACTCGGAGTTGAATGGAACCAGTCCTCCGAAAAGTCATTCCCCACAAGGAAGCCCTGGAGGTTCAGCCACGGTAATGCAGAGGAGGAAATGCCCTCAATTCACCTGCGACACCTGCCCGGGCGCCCAGGTCTCTCCTCGCGCCCAGACCCCTGCCCTAGCTCCCCGCCCCCTGTGCCCCAATCCCCGCCCTGCCCCCTCCCAGACGGCCGTCGCCCCGGAGGTCCCCAGGGCCCAGACCCCTCGCGCGTCCTGCGAGCGGCTCTCTGGAGCCTGGACGGGCGGCGCGGGGAGGCCCGTCCTGGCGCGGCCTCTCCCCCATCCTCACACCCCGCAGGCTCCAGGGACTCCCCGCCCCCGGAAACAGCGGAGAAACTAGGCCGGGAACGCCAGCCCCGGCCACTATCCGCCTCCTTGGCTACCCCCCGCAGGCGGGCCATCGGAACTCAACCCTCCGAGTTGCTACCTGTCCCGCGCCCTCTCAGCCCGGGAGCGCGGGCCGAGTGGAGGCGCGCCGCAGGGTTCGTCCGCGAAAGGCCCTCCACCGCAGACTCACCTGCCGCCTGCTCCACCTTCAGTGCCACCCAGAAACAGCCCCTTGCTGGGGCATGAAAGCGCCGGCTACGCGGCCTGCGCGCCCTCGCCACAGCCGGGCGGGGGGACTTGCTCCCGCGGCCGCCGCCGCCACGGCCGGATCTGCGCCTGCGCCGCCTGACGGGCTCGGTCTCGAGGGGCGCCGCATGCAGCGATAACGGCCGGGAGCGCGAGCTCGCGCGGGCGCCTCGGCTCTCCCGGGTCCGGCGGTGCGGGCGGCGGGTCGCCTAGTAGCAGCCGGCTGCAGTGCCGCCCCGACAGCTGACGGCCATATTCCTGTTCCCTTTTCTTTTTTTCTCCCCCTCCTTCCGCCCTTTTCCACAGAACAGCACTTTCCTTTTCCCCCTCCCTCTCCCTTTCCTACTGCGGGGGTGGGTGGAAAAGGGCGTGGGGGGAGGGGTGGAAAAGGGAGGCCGCGGGGGCGGGGCAGTGCTAGAGTCCCGCCCCCGGGGAGGGCCGAGGCCGCGCGGTCACTGCTCCCCTCCCCCCGCCTCCCGCCGCGACCCCCGCGGGGTGCGAGGTCCCAGCCCGGCCCCCTTGGAGCCCCTCCTCCGCATTCGCTCCGCGGGTCCTTCGCCGAAAAGGAGCTGGGAGTGAAGGAAGGGCCCAGGGCGCTACTCTGCTGCCCTTCTTGCGGGGCTCCGACTCTGTGTGGTGTGGGTTTATCGCCCCGGCCTCAGGCAGGTGGCGGCTGCTCCTCTAGGGTTTATCAAAAACGGGGAAAGGGACACCGAGTCCCTCAGTCCTGGGAGAAGAATGCTGAGCGGGATTCACGTCCCTGGACGAGAAGTTTTCCTTTCCGGGGTGAGAACTGAAATTTCCACGCATGACGGGGGGCGCCTCTGAGGCCGGATAGAGACCCGCCGACTGGGGCTACCCGAAGCCCTTTTCCGGCTGCAGCGCCCCAAGAGAGTCCTTGGCCGCGCTTCGTGTCGCTACCTGGGCCGAGATTTCGGGATGGGGACTCCGAATGTGGAAATGGGTTGTTTAACCAGTTCTCTCCTGCCTCCTAAGTTTAGGCTCCGTGTCTACATGGATGCACGCAAATTCCTTTCGCCTCCATGCAAATTTTGCAAAATATTTTTGACAACATTTGGAAGTTATTACAGTGAGAAAGAATAACAGTTATTCAGGAAGAAGCAAGTGGTTTGAAACGGTTTTTACCTCCTGGCAAAAAAATAAAAGTAAATGGCGAATGATTTCACAGATTTCATGACAGGTCAAATTTAGAACTGGTAATATTTGTGTATATCTGATGAGTATTTACATATATAATGATCATTTTCCTGAGAATTACTTTATTGATTCAATCTGCCCTTTTGCCAAAAAGTGTAAGATTAGACCTCGGTCATGAGCGCCTTGTTGTCCGTTTACTTCTGAAGTTTATTGTATATACGAATGGTTTGAGTTTTGCAGCCAATAGCAGAAACCGTTTTTTTTTTTTAATGTTTATTTATTCTTGAGGGGGAGAGAGAGAGAGAGACTGTGAGTGGGGGAGGAGCAGAGACAGACAGACAGACAGAATCCGAAGCAGGCTCCAGGCTCTGAGCTGTCAGCACAGAGCCCCACGCGGGGCTGGAACTCAGCATCCCTGAGATCATGACCTGAGTTGAAGTCAGAGGCTTAACTGACTGAGCCACCTAGGCACCCCGAAACTGTTTTCTTAACTACATTAGCAGTCCGAATTGATTCTGTAGAAATGCATAGCAGTGGAAATAATGCTAATTTAGTAATAGTCTGGAGTCCGTTTGAGCCCAGTGGACCCATCTTCGACAATCTGGACAACTAGGACTTGAACAGTTAGCTTATGGACTTCTTGTCCTTACTTTCTCAAGTCATATTATTTAATTGTTTAAAAGCATTTAATATAGACAAGATGTCTTAATGGGTAGATTTCATTAACACAGATAGTCTTTTTCTTCTTGGTTTTTTGCAACCACAGAAATAAAAAATGGAAGAAGCCAGTGTATCTCTTCCATTTATTTGACAGATTTTTCTCAATTTGCAATGTGGGTTTTAACTTTTTTCATTATTTTAATTGCCCTATAGATGTATAGTAGATTTTCATTGTCATTGTCTACCTAAAATTTCATGAATGGGGGCACCTGGGTGGCTCAGTGGGTTAAGCATCCAACTTCGGCTCAGGTCATGATCTAGCAGTTCGTGAGTTCAAGCCCTGTGCTGACAGTTCAGAGCCTGGAGCCTGTTTCAGATTCTATGTCTCCTTCCCTCTCTCCCCTCCCCTGATCATACTCTGTCTCTCTCTCTTTCAGGAAATAAATAAACATAATTTTTTTTTTAATTTCATGAATGAACTTGTATATTTTGGGCCCAATATTTTTGTTTCACTAGCTTTTCTTGGATCTGAAAGTCCTTAATTCAAGGACCTTCTCAACTGCAATCTTTTGTATCCAGAATTGAAATAAGTTCACTTTAATTTTTAACATGTAAATACTTAAGTCTAAAACATGCGAGGGGAACTGGAGAGCCCAATAACAACATAATTGTTATAATCCTTATAGTATCATGGTTTCAGCTGAGCCTTTATAGATGCAGGAATGCATAGGAGAATCGCTCAGCCCATTGAAGAGGGGAATACAGACATCTGATTGGGCATGGTCACTGCAGATTTCTGAGGATGAGCAACGCAAAAGAGTTTAATGGAAATGCTGAAAATTTTCTTAAAATAAGCAAAATTTTTTCAGTGCTACAGCTTGCCAAGTGATTGCCCTCTTCCTGTTTGTTCCCTTGAAAAACTTCTAAACACTAGTTTTCACAAGACTATTCAAAGACCTTTACATGTCTGTACTCCTTTTTATCTGTTTTATTCAACTCCATATTTAACAGAAGCATTATGAATGTAGCAGTTTACTCTGATTATTGTAATTAATTATTTTTGCAATTTCTTAATGTCTGAATTCCATACTAGATTGTAAGGCCTGTGAGAGCAAGGTTCACGTGTCACATGTGTATTCACATATCATATTCTCTTTCAAATTCAGAATAGCCAACATATGATCAACTTTTTAAAAAAAATTATTTTAAAAAAAATTTTTTTTTCAACGTTTATTTATTTTTGGGACAGAGGGAGACAGAGCATGAACGGGGGAGGGTCAGAGAGAGAGGGAGACACAGAATCGGAAACAGGCTCCAGGCTCTGAGCCATCAGCCCAGAGCCCGACGCAGGGCTCGAACTCACGGAGCGCGAGATCGTGACCTGGCTGAAGTTGGACGCTTAACCGACTGCGCCACCCAGGCGCCCCTAAAAAAATTATTAATGTCTATTGATTTTTGAGAGAGAAAGCATGAGTGTGGAAGGAGCAGAGGGAGAGGGAGATACAGAATTAGAAGCAGGCTCCAGGCTCTGAGCTGTCAGCACAGACCCAGATGTGGGGTTCGAATTCACAAGCCGTGAGATCCTGACCTGAGCCAAAGTCGGAGGCTTAACCAACTGAGCCACGCAGGTGCTCCATTATATGATAGACTTTCAAAAAGTATTTGATGAATGACTGACATAAATCATGGTTCCCTCACTTTCTTCCACTTCTCTGGCAAGTTACTTAATTTTCCTTGTGTGTAAAGTGGGTAAAATAATATTCACAAGAAGTAAGATCATTTATTAATTTACAATAAGCTATAATGTCAAACAGACCAGTCTAGTAATCAATACTTAGCACATGTGATAGGCAGCCTTTTTTTGTACCTTACAATGATCTCTGCCTCCTGCGTTATGCCCTTGTATAATCTCCTTACATTGGGTGTGGGGTGGGCTTATTGACTAGCTTCTAACACACAGAATACATCAGGAGTGATGAGATGTCTCTAACAAGATGAGGCTATTAAAAAAACCTGTGGCTTCACTCTTGGATTCTTTCTCTCTTATCCTCCTGGATTGCTTACTCTAGGTAAGCCAGCTACCATGTCATCAGGCAGCTCTGTGAAGGAGTTCAGAAGTGTATCCTTGCCAAGTTGAGCTTTGAGAGGACTGTGGCCACAGCCAACACCTCTATTTTAGCCTCCTGACAGACCCCGAGCCAGAATCACCCAACTAAGCTGCTTCTGCTTTCTTTACTCACGGAAACCGTGAGATAAATATTTCTTGTGGGGTGCCTGGGTGGCTCAGTCGGTTGAGTATCCGACTCTTGATTTCGGCTCAGGTCATGATCTCACAGTTCGGTTTGTGAGTTCAAGCCTAGCATCAGACTCTGCACTGGCAAGATCAGCTTTGGTGATTTCATAATTGAGTATGGAGGAGAAACTCGTAAATTCTTAGCTCTTTATTTTCCCAGTCAAAATAAATTAACTCTTGATTCTCTAGGATAGCCTCCACAGCATGCAAATCTGATCCTGATCTCTACTTTCTGATGTATAATCCACATGTTCTACTGGCGAGTTATTTGGGTCCAGCCCCTTACTCTTCATTTCATTTTTGAAAACATAGGATTTGAAGGCCTGTTGATTCATGCCCACAGGCACTCTGATATACTTCTGGAAAGAGTTTTAAGTAAGAATGATATCACCGAACACAAGATCTGCATTATTCATATGATATCTAAATGACCCAGTGTGTCCTACTCTCCACAGGGAGCATTAGCACACTCTGTTTGTGCCCCCCTCCAGTATCTTTATCTGGCTGTGGACTCTGTATCATCATTCACAGAATGGCCTCATCGAGAGTCTTTTGGAGTTACTCGGCATATTCTTCATCCAATTCTCTTTACTAGGCCTATGGGCCAAACATAGCTGGACTAGCAGTGTGAAGGACGGGCACAAGGCTCTTGGTCTTGAGTCAAAGTGGAGTAAACGATCCTGAGAACAATGTCCTAACATCATAAAGAAGAGTAGGGATTAACAAAGGGAGAAAAACAGAGAAAGAAATAATGGGTAGAGAGGTTGACAAGAAGACACCTTATATGAATATCTGAGACACAAGACCAGCTGTCCATGGCTGGATTTCATGGGCTCCCTACAGGATTTTAAGTCGAGGGCATAGTCCTCTACCCTCAGGCTTTCCCCACTCCTGGGGAACAGTGTCTGGGCTCACTTGAACACCACTCTAGCACCCAACACCTCCAAATATGGTTAGTCTCCCTAACTAACATACGTCTACACTCATCCATCCAGGTATATTCCTAGTTTCCCACTTTTACTGTTGCCTATCCTGACTAGAGTTCAACTCTAACCTGCTTACCTTTTTCTGAGCCTTAATTCTTTTATTCCTCACATCATAGCAAATCATCCTGACCATAGGTCAAGAAATATATGTATTCTGTATTTCAAAGATTAATTAAAAAAAAAAAACTTTTATTAAGAAAAAAAACAGGGGTGCTTGCGTGGCTCAGTGAGTTAAGCATCTGACTTCAGTTCAGGTCATGATCTCATGGGTTCGAGCCCCACATTGGGCTCTGCACTGACAATGTGAAGCCTGCCTGAGATTCTGTCTCTCCCTCTCTGTCTGCCCCTCCCCCACCTATTCGCTCTCTCTGAGCGAATTTAAAGTTTAACTTTAAAACAAACTTTAAACTTTAAAACAAAAGAAAATAAAAAAACAATAAATACAAACATAAACAAAACTAATAGTATGATGAACTCTTCTGTGTTTATCACCCAGCTTCAACTCATAGTTAGTCTTGGTTTCATGTATCCCCTTCCTCACTTCCCTCTCCTCACCAAGTATTTTGAAGCAAATACTTGACATTTCATTTCATCTGTAAACACTTCAGCAGGTAGCTCTAAAAAATAAGGATTTTTTGGGGGTGTCAGGGTGGCTCCATCAGTTAAGTGGCCGACTCTTGATTTCTGCTTAGGTCATGATCTCACAGTTGTGGGATTGAGCCCTTTATCAGGTTCTGTGCTGGGCATGGGGCCTACTTGAGATTCTCTCTCCCCTCTTCCTCTACCCCTGCCCTATTTGCACACACACAGACTCTCTCTCTAAAAAAAAAAATAAGAAAAAAAGATAAGGACTTTTTAAAAAACATAAGCACAAGGCCATTCTCATCACTAAAAATTATTTTAATTAATATTTTACTTTATTATGGGGCACCTGGGTGGCTCAGTCAGTTGAGCGTCGGACTCTTGATTTCCTCCCAGGTCATGATCCCATAGTCGTGGGATCAAGCCCCAGGCCAGGCTCTGCACTGAGCATGAAGCCTGCTTAAGATTCTCTCCCTCTGCCCCTACCCACCCCCCACCGTGCTCTCTCTCTCTCTCCCTCTAAAATAATATATATATATGTTTTATATTATTAAATATTTGGGTTTTTTTTTTTTTGAGAGAGAAAGAGAGAGAACGTGCATGTAAGTGGGGGAGGGGCAGAAAGTGGAAGAGCAAGTAGCCAAAGCAGACTCAGCAGAGAACCCGAGTAGGGGCTTGAACTCACAAACCATGAGATCATGACACACGCCAAAGTCTGATGCTTAACTGACTGATCCACCCAGGGGCCCAAGGGTTTTTTTTTTTTTTTTTAATGACAAAAAAAAGCTGCAAAGTATTAATATTGCATACTCTCTTACCCCTTTCCACTCTTCATGGATGTATACAACTCCTCCCTGGAGGGTTCGAGTTTGCATTACACCTCTGATTGGTAAACTAGAATGTTGCTACCCAGATTCCCCCATGATTCAGATAATATAGGGTAGGGACTCTTTCCTTTGAAATTTGCCCACTTAAAGATGTTTCACTATTCAGGGGCACCTGGGTGGATCAGTCTGTTCAGCATTCGACTCTTGATTTCCTCTCAGGTCATGATCTCGCGGTTTCGCGAGTTTGAGCCCTGCATTGGCTCTGTGCTGATAGTGCAGAGACTGCTTGGGATTCTCTCTCTCTCTCTCTCTCTCTGCCCCTCCCCTGCTTGTTCTCTCTCTCAAAACAAACTTTAAAAAAAATTATTAAGGATGTTTCACTATTCAGATTAAAGACCCCATAACACATAACAGAGACTGCCTAAAAAAATCTCAAAATTAATAGCTAATTTCTAGCTTATATTTAATGTGAGTTTAATAAGCACAGTATTGTTTTACTGGCAAAAAAATAATTGGGATCTGGTGCTGATACCCTTTAACACCTACTCAAATTTTCCCCTACTTTCATGGCTCCTTTCACACAGAAAAAGAGAAAATGACCTGAATACCAGAAGCTATCACTAAACCAGAATAATTTCAACCTCTTTTTGTTGTTCTCTCAACTCTAGTTCTCTAGCCCAATTTCTCTGAGCTATGTACTTAGCCATCAAACTACCTCCAGTGTCTAAATGATATCTACCATTTTACATGTTCAAAGCACAACTCTTACTTCCCTCCCTGCATGGCATCTCCCCCCAAATATTCCTTTTTAAGCTACCTCATTTCATTATATGCCACCACAATCTATCTATCTTGCCAAATGATGTCCTCTTCAACCCCCAGATCCAAAGATGGATCACTTGAACTAGGGGTTAGGGAAGATGTCATTTGGCAAAATAGAGAAGAAATGGAGCTGGCGTCAGCATTGGGAGAACTGTCCAGCACTCTCAGAGGCCAGTACTGGGCGAGCCACAAAAGGACCATTGCCTACAGACCATTGGTTGCCATTTAGTGGTACACAACAGGCAGTTATGTGACATCAAATGAAGCAGTCACCTCAGCTGTGTGTCTGACCATTGAGGCATGTGGTCTTTCCATTGGCATCAGCCTGCATATAGCTGTGACTCTGTTTTTTTTTTTTTTTTTTTAAGGGCTTGAACTCACAACCTTGAGATCTAGACCTGGGCTGAGATTAAGAGCCGGACATCTAACTGAACCACCCAAGCACCCCTGTGACTCTTGACTAAAAGAATATAAGCCTGTATCCTGAGATCTGAACACCTAACCACATTGTGCATGTAAACCACAGCTTTTTTTAGTTTTCCAGGATCAGGTCAGAGGGACTCAACACCCAGAAAGACAGTAATGGTATAGAAGGGAAAGCTTTGGGAGGGACTGGGCGAGGTAAAACCATCACCTTACAGAGAAAATATGTGTTAGATAAGCTGTATTCAGGCATGACTTACAGTGCTTTTGACCACGAGTTCAATGTTAATAAATCAATGATATATATTAAATAAGGTTTCTTTAAACAGAAACACACATAAAATGAGGTTATATGTTGATTGGTTGAAGCAAATGTGAGCAAAGTCTCTCAGGAAAATATTTCTGGTAGGAACAATGGTTAGCATTTGCTAATTCAGTGTTCCCTGCCTACCCTATTTAAAACAACAGTCACATCATATCATCTTGCCCTGTTTTACGTTTTCCCCATACTCTGGTCACTGACATTTACTGGATATTTATGTGTTTACTATCATATCAGCATATAAGTTCCATAGGACAGGAACTTTATTTTATTCACTAATGTATCCCAGGCTAGAAAAGCAGTAATAATCCATAAATATTGTTGGTGAATCAATCAAATAATTTAACAGCCCTTAAGGCGTCTGTTCTCATCACCAATTTTCAGCCTTCATGTTTATGGTCATTGTTCCATTCGTGGTTTTACTGAAACCCTAGTCCAGGTAAACCCCACCTGGCTACCTCCATCTCTCTAATCCTGCATATGCCTCTGGGACTCTTATCCTATTTCTTCCCTGTGCAGTCTAAGTAAGAAAGTTCTTTGAGTGGGTCCAGAGCATTAAAAATAGTTGTGCATAACTCTATGGTAGCAGTAGTCATTAGCTGACAATGCCTAAAAAGAGAACAACAGCAAGTTAGCAGACCCTGTCTTAACAGATTGGAATGGCATGTTAATTCTCAACCTAATGATTTATTTACTGATGCCTGCTGCCTTCATTAAGAATTATTAGAGCATTTTCTTTTGAGCTTATCAAAGGGAAAATTGTATTTGTGTTTACTTTAGTCACTAAGGTTAATTGCCATTTTAATACTCTTTTGATGTGCTAATAGCTCTTAATGAGGATCATTAATTAGAAAACTAAAAGGAGAAGGCAGGTTTTTGCAGAAAATTTGAATCTATTCCCACTACTCCCCTAAACTCCATTTCTGGGACTTAACTACTCATTTCACCTAGATTTCTACAGTTAAATCAAATTGAGGCCAATTATAGTCATTGGGGAAGAGTAGAGCAGACAGACTTTTGGATGCTTGCTTACTCCATGAGCAAGTTATTTAATGTCCCTGAGCCTCTTTCCTCATGCATAAAATATTTATCTTGCAGAGTCATTTAAGATTATTATCATATGCAGCAACCATTCATCAAGCACCTTCTTTATTTTTTTTTTTAATGTTTATTTATTTTTGAGACAGAGAGAGACAGAGCATGAGCAGGGGAGGGGCAGAGAGAGAGGGAGACACAGAATCCAAAGCAGGCTCCAGGCTCTGAGCTGTCAGCACAGAGCCAGACCTGGGGTTGGAACTCACAGACTAGACCATGAGATCATGATCTGAGCCAAAGTCAGACGCTTAACTGACTAAGCCACCCAAGCGCCCCTATCAATCCAGTCCCTAAGCTAGGTACTCAACCTTCATTGTCTACTACTCCGCCCCTATAGGGAAATTGTCATTATAGTTTCCCCTGAGATAATATATGTAAAGCCTCTGTCATAGTGAACAGCACAAACTTGGACAGCAGTTAGCATACTACAGCCCCTCGGCCAAATCTACCCTGATGCCTGTTTTTGTAAATTAAGTTTTATTGGAACACAGCCATGCCCATTTGTTAACTGTTGTCTATGGCTACCTTTGCACTAAAATGGCAGAATTGAAGAGTTATGACAGAGACAATATGGCCCACAAAAACAAAAATATTTGCTCTTTGATCCTTTATAGAAAAAGTTTGCCAACTCATATGCTAGGAGACCAACAATAGTTAGTCTGATTTACTTATGCATCCAAACAGGAGGGCAAGAAAAAAAAAAAAGCAGATCTAGAGAGGGGGTCACAAATGACTAGAGTCCCAAGGGATCAAAGATTCTTACCAAAAAAGGGGGGGAAATCGAAGTGAATAGAAATCCTAATTTGTGACTTCCAGATACATTGCCTACTGCAGAATGAGCAACCTCCCAAATGAAAGTGGGAAGCATGTGCTTATGGAAGAGCTAGAATTCAGTTATGAGTGCTCAGGAGAGAGCCAGGTGAAAGTGCTCAGTGAATGGGTTAAGGATGTAGAGGAGAAATCTGTTTATCATGGAAAAGCTCAGGAAGCAGAGGGGAAAGGTTTGTAGAGGAAGAGTAAAAGCAGTGGTAGCTGCAGAATGTCTATAACAAAGGGACTTAGGAGTCTCGCTGGTTGAAAAAATGTCACTTATCCATTCCAAGAATGGATGAAGTGAACTGAAGGAGATCTTGGGAAATCTGCATCTGCTCTCTAATGCCCCATAGACACTTTCTATCAGTGGGAGGTAAAGAATGGGAAAGGGAAGAAAAAGTACAAGCAGCACAAAAAGGCATGACAAAAAGTGCTTATATTTTGAACAGTGACTAAAGACGATAAGAAGCATGATAAACATGGTGGAATATTCTGGCTTCACGATTTCCAAAGGATTCATATTATACACTTGCTTTACCTTGGGTAGAAGCCCAGGTCCTGGTAGAATCAGTGGCCTGTGGAAGTTGATGGTCTGACCTGTAAATTTTGTAGGCCAGAAGTGAACAGGTCTTAAACATCAGTGCTTTAATTGTAGGTATTCAGCAATTCTGTCAATGAAGTTGTTTCCATTCTTTAAACCTATTGGAATTATGGCAATCAATAGACCATAACACAGAAAGGTATTTGGAAATAATGGCTAAAAAGAAAAGAAAAGAAAGTGAAACCATACTGTCAGAAGTTCTTAGTCATGTTTTTTGATATGCTTTTGCTTTCTTGGTTGTTTTGGGTTTTTTTTCCCCCCGAGATAGCACTATCTTTTAAAATATTTTTGTAGTTGTAGGAAAGTCATATAAATGGACCATGATTTCTGGAAAGTTAAAAACAAACAAACGAAACAAGCAACCACCTCTAGTGTTGTTTCAGGGGAGTTCTGACTCTTTAGCGCATATTCTCCTTTCACTTCTTGTTTTTGTCATTCATTGTTCACGAGCCTTTTTTACTGTGTACTTTGCAAGTCATGGCATCTCCAGAATTTTTAAGGAGAGTCCTAACTTGTTTAATATCCATAGAGTCAGTATCTCAGGATGACTTTTCTGAAGATTCCATCCTACTGGGGACAAAACTCAGAAGCATTTTTAAGTTTACCTCTTTGGATTCAGTCCAGTTTGCCTTGATCCTAATATTCTTCAGCTCTTTCATTTTTTAAATATATGAAAGTTATTTAAAAATTTTTTTAATGTTTATTTATTATTGAAAGACAGAGAGAGTCAGAGCATGAGCAGGGGAGGAGCAGAGGGAGAGGGAGACACAGAATCTGAAGCAGGCTCCAGGCTCTGACCTGTCAGCGTAGAGCCTGCCATGGGGCTTGAACTCACAAACTGCAAGATCATGACCTGAGCCGAAGTCAGACACTTAACCGACTGAGCCACCCAGGTGCCCCTATGAAAGTTATTTTAGAGCTGGACTTATAAACTAGTTTTCTCAGAAGGCAGCTAAAATCAAAGTACTATTAGTGATGTTGTCCTGATGTGCTGAAAATAAGTTTTTTTTTAAGTTTAGTTATTTTGAGAGGGGGGGGAGCAGAGAGGGGGACAGAGAAAATCCCAAGCGGATTCTGTGCCCAGCACATGGCTTGATCCCACAACCATGGGATCATGACCTGAGCTGAAATCAAGAGTCAGACGCTTAACCGACTGAGCCACCTGGGCACCCCTGGAAATAAGTTTTTGAGCTGATATGTTATAAAGCATTTTAGTTTCAGAGAAAGGCCACAACTATTTATATAATTCAGCCAGAAAACATGCCTAAATTACAATTCATATTAAGTAAAGGAAAGACAAAGGACCGGTAATTTTTCACTCATTCAGTAAGTATTTATTGAATATCTACTAGGTATCTACACTGTTCTCAGCCATCTAGGGTTGGAGCAAGAACAAAACAGACGAAAACTCCTGCCTTTGGGAAGCTTATATGCTAGTGAGGGAAAACAGACAATAAACAAGATAAATAGGAAAAATATATAATATGGTAAAAAGTTGTAAATATAAGACAAAAATTGTACTGGTAAGGGGAGAGGGGGCTTTTGCCAATGAGCTATTTGTAATTCTTAGTAGGGACTCCAGTCAGCTTTGAATGCTCTTGATTTTTTCAAAATGCTTTGGAGCGGAGGGGCGCCTGGGTGACTCAGTGAGTTGAGCGTCCAACTTCTGCTCAGGTCATGATCTCACGTTCCTGAATTTGAGCCCTGCGTTGGGCTCTCTGCTGTCAGTGCGGAGCCTGCTCAGGATCCTCTGTCCCCCCCTCTCTCTGGCCTTCCCCCTTTAGTACTCTCTCTCAACAATAAATAAACCTTAAAAAAATGCTTTGAAGCTTACAAGATACTTAACTAGAAGCTTGACGAGGCTTCCAAGAGACAGGAGTTGGGACTGGTGGTAGCTTGCCCAGTTATCTGATTACTTAAGACCTTATGCATAGACAGAACATTATTCCATACCCAGCCTTCCCTATCTCCACCACCCTTTGGCCCTATCAGTTGCTTTTTATCTACTCAATTAAAGTAAAAAGGGCGGGGAGAGCACTAGAAGTATTTTTGCTTGTATTTTGAGTCTGATGCATTTTTGGAGCTTTTTAATTAATGAAATATATTGAAATTATAAAATTTTTATCTATCTATCTATCTACTTATTTTTACCAAACAAGGTGATTTTATCAAACCACAGGGATAGGACCTGTGGGCAGAAAGAACTGCCATAAATGTTTTTAAATTAACATACACGGTTATAATAGTTTCAGGTGTACAACATAGTGATCCAATGATTCTAAGCATTACTCAGTGCTCATCAAGACAAGTGTACTCTTCAGGGCACTTGGGTGATGCGGTTGGTTAAGCGTCTGGCTCTTGATCTTGGCTTAGGTCGTGATCTTACAGTTTGTGAGTTGGAGCCCTGTATCAGGCTCTGTGCGGACAGCACAGTGCCTGCTTGGGATTCTGTCTCTCCTTCTCTCTGCCCCCTCCCCAGCTTGTTCTCTCTCTGTGTCGCTCTCCAAATAAA